CCTGCAGCCAGCCCGGCCCCGCGGCTGCTCCCCTGTGCAAAACCAGAGCTTGCTCCTGGCTGAGCCCTGTACGCAGCAAATTATATTTACAAAACCCAAATGAAAGGGCAGATGCTTCCCGGAGAAGCAACAATAATCCCAAATACCCCAGCAGAAGCAAGGAGCCATGATGGGTGGAGGAGCACGTTGCCTGTCCAAGCAGATCTGAGCTCCCGGCCCCGCGGCTGCTCCCCTGTGCAAAACCAGAGCTTGCTCCTGGCTGAGCCCTGTACGCAGCAAATTATATTTACAAAACCCAAATGAAAGGGCAGATGCTTCCCGGAGAAGCAACAATAATCCCAAATACCCCAGCAGAAGCAAGGAGCCATGATGGGTGGAGGAGCACGTTGCCTGTCCAAGCAGATCTGAGCTGTGGCTGCAGCCTTTGCCTTAGATGAAGTCCTTGGACGTTGCTGATGGTTGGTTGGAGTTGTAGTTGGCCATGGGGCTCTCTGAGGATGGTGCCTGGCAGAAGCTTGGCAGAGCCAGGGTAGGGGGGCAGGTGGGCAAGGGCTGGAAAATCCCCTCCTGATCCAGGGCAGCCACAAGACAAGCTGCTGGTCACACAGGTTTTTTGTTGGGTCTCAGGAGACCTGAGGATCTGAAGGCTGGGATGGTGTGCCTCGAGGGTGCTTGGTTTTCTCCAGCTCTTGTCAAGCTCATCTAATAAAGGCTACTCTCCTTGTGTTACCTTGTTTGTATCTTCAGACCATGACAACTGCAGCAGTGATGTTAACTCTCATCTGCTAACCTGTGACCACTCCACGTCCACTCTGCCTGGACTGTCACCTCCTTTGCTGCTGCTGAAGGGACAAAAAAAGTGCATTGCTTGGCTCTGAGCTCACATCTCCCAAGGGCAAATCCTCTCGGGTGTGATGCTGGGCAGAGCAGTCTTGACTTGAACAACAAGCAGGTTGAGATGAGGGGTTGTAGACAAATCACTTTACAGAGAGCTCGGCGGCTGTTTCAGTGCCAGCAGAAGCTCCAGCATGATGGATAAGAGACCACACCATCCTGTGCCCCCTTCAGCATTCACCGTGGGGACATTAATCCCAGCAGAACCTGGTGTCTGCAGGTTGAGCTCCTGCTGCCTGGAGGTTTTTGCCCCACTCTTCCATCTCAGCAGGCGTAGGTGTCAGGACTTGCCGGTGAACACCTTTGGGAAGGGAGCAGACTCACACCCCCGGGGGTGAATCTCTGCTTCAGTGCTTGCTCTCTGCCTCTGGAGAGCCTTTGTTGGTGCCCAACGCCCATGCAAAGCTTGGGAGTAGCCGGTGCTTGGATAAACCATGTGCTGGAGAAGGGCCAGGGCTGCTTGCTCAAGAGCAGGAGGAGTTCACAAGTGCTGACTCCCCATGAAATACAGGGACTGGTTTGCAAAGGGGGGGGACATGGTGGATGATGCCCCTTTGCAAACTCCCCAAAAGCCTCAGGACAGGGGGATGTCCTGGGATGGGGACAGGGCTGTGGGTTGGTGATGGAAATGGCAGGGTTGCAGGGAGGGGGCTGTCCTCAGGCAGGAGGGGACAATGGAGCAGGATGGGTGTCTTGGAAATTGGGTTTGCTCAAGGTGACTCTTGATGGTGATCCCAGCACCCAATTGATGCCTGAGGGATTTGCTCTTTGTCTAAAGACATGCTTGTGGGCATGGTCCTGCAGGATGGTCTCAGGAGAACATTCCCATCCCATTCTGCTGCATTTCAGGGGATGGAGGTGAGGATCCAGACCTCAGCCCATGGACAAGGGTGGAAGGGATGAGGGATGTGAGAGCTAGACAGGACTTGAGAGGGGAAATCCACAATGGGATGCTTGTTGGTCTTGCTTTGAGCCTCCCCTCCATGAGCCCAGTGAGGATCCTGGAGCCTCCTCTCCCCTCCCAAGCATCAGCAGCTGCCATGGGTATGGGGGTGTCAATGCAGCCCCTGCTTATCTCCTCCGTGCCTGCTGTGTGGGTGGCCATGGCACATGGTGGGAGCAGGGTGGGTGCCTCCCATCCCTCCCTCCTCCAAAAAGCGATGCCTCTGGCCCCCAGATTCTCCTGAATGCCATTCCCGGGGAGCTGCAAGGAGCATTCAGCCCGTGCCCCCCAGGAGTGGGGAGGTGGTAGGGGGCCAGGGCAGAGCCTGGGGCTGTGGTTACCTTGGCTGCTGTGCAGGTGGGAGGAGAGCCAAGGCAGCTGCTGAGGGCTTGGAGACTCACTTGCTAGGGCTTGTTCATGGCACCTACTCCTCAGCAGAGCTCAGGCTGAGACCTTGGATCCCATTTCCAAGGAAAAATCCAGTGAAGAGGTGGTGTTTTGGTTTTTGTTTTTGTTTTTCTCACTGGTTGCTGGAGGTTTGGGAATGGAGCTGTGTGTGGGGTGCTGGGGAAATGCTCAGAGGGGTGGAAAACATTTGGTGGAAGACTTCTGCCATGATACCTTGAGCTGTCAGTATATCAAGTGAAAAGCTACCTAATCTTGCACTTTAATAGTCCTAGGTGAGTTTCCCGTGTGCTGGGACCGGGGAGCTTTAACAAACAAGTTGCTTTTACAGTATGAGGTCAAAAGAGGTGGGTCCCTTGAGGAACCTTTGTCCTAGAACATGGGTCACCCTCCAAAGGGAGAGTGGACAGTAATGGGACCTGCTGTGCAAAATGTTAATAGAAGAGTCTCTTAAATAATTAGAAGAAAACACGATCACAAACAAACCCTCCCTCTCTGGGCAGCACTTCTGGGTTCCTGAGTTGACCAGCCTTTTACCAGCTGATCTCACAGGTCATTGGGTTTTGCTCAACTCTAACCAGCCTCCCCCAATGATGCTTTCCAGCTTTTAATGAGATTGGAGGTTACCCCAACCTGGAAGAAGCCTATTTAAAAGCTGTGCCATCCAAGATTGTTCCCAACACGACGTGCCACCTGCCCAGAGCGGATGCAATGCACCTCTTCCGAGATCCAGTCTCTGGAGATCTGCCCTGGACCGGGATGACTTTTGGGCTGTCTATCATGGCCACGTGGTACTGGTGCACCGACCAGGTAAATGTAAACAAGAATCCCCTGCCCCATATAACACGGCGTTGCCTGGGGTCCAGGCACGCTCTACCACTGCTCTCGCCCTGGAAGTCCACCTGCATCAGCACCTATTGGTCCTTCTGGGTGGTGGTGGTCTCAGGAGGCTTCTTTTTGGAGTCAATAGAAGCACCCAGGGCTCCCGCAACCCTGTTCTTGAGGTGCTTGGATTGGGACAGTTTGGAGAGCGGGATGCCGAGGGGTGTCCTCATCTCCTCGGTTGTCTTCTGGCTTTCTGGTAGGGAGGTTAAGCGTTTGCTTGATGCTCTGGGGTTGCTTGGTGATAGGTGGCCAGGCTGCGTGGGCTTGCTGGGTCTGAAGGCTTTGCTCTGCCAGTAGGGTTGGCTGCCTGCAATGGTCTTTTTGGGCTCAGCTCCATCCCCTCTGTACTTGGTGGCCACAGGGGATTTCTCGTGTGTCGGGGAGCAAGACACCTCCTTGCCTTGTTCTCTGCCTGTGGGGTTCCTGGGCCGGTAACGGTAGATGTGTGTCCCCTGTTTGTTGAAGAGCAGAAAAAGAGGTGAGCTACTGCTGCTATGAGGATGCTGTTCCCTTGTATGGACCCCCCTTCACCCGTCTGTGCCATGGACTTGGTCCTCACAGACAAGTCCTTCTGCCACTTGCTGTGCTCCCTTGCCCAAATCCTTCTGAGACCAGTGGCAGCTCAAAACTGCCTCAAGTCTTGACCAGTGCTGCTCCTCTGATTTCTTACTCTGGCAACACATTGTCCTGCACATTGCAGCATCTCAGCAGCTGCTTCCCAAGCAGCCCCAGCAGCCTAGGGACTGTCCCGAGCCAAATCATGGCTGCCTGGAGATCCAGGACCAAGGATGCCAGCGGCATCTCAACACCTTCTCTCCAGCTGCAGCCTGAACACCTGTCTTAATCATCTAAGTGCTCATTTCAGGCCCAAAGAGCATTCAGTCATCCAGACCCAACCTGTGGGATTAGGTGACTACCAAGATTAGATGAAAGGATGGAGGGTTGGGAAGAGGAGGTAGGATCAGAAGGCAAGAGTGAGCTGCAACACCACTGTGGGGGCGGCTCCGATGAGCTGGTTTGAGAGACACGTTTGGATCGGGTCTGAGCATCATTAACCTTAATTCTGGACTGAGTAAGGCCTTAACACATGGCTGTGGTCACCAGATATTTATCTTCCTCTTTGGGCGTGTCTGCGCCGCAGTCTGGAGGTGTGATTGCACCCCGTGCAGACGTACCTGGGTGAGATTGGATCTAGCCAGGTGCTGACAGCAGGACGAGCTGGGGCTGGCAGGCTGCAGAGCCGGCTGCACCGACCTGCCCTGC